GTAGATGTGGGAAAAAATAAAGGTGGTATCTCTCAACTTCAGAAAGCTCTTTATACTATCTCATAAGCAAACTAGGGAAATATAGCCTCAACAAGCCTACCATGAGGTGGATGCACAACTGGTTGGAAAACCATATTCACAGAATAGTTAACAATGGATTACAGTAAAATTTAAAGGGTATATTGAGTGGGTCCATCCTAGTTTCATTCATTATTTGGACAATGCCATAGAGAATACACGTATATGATCAAAGCTTGGAAGAGATGCAAGTACTTTGGAGGACAGGATTAGAACTCAAAATGATCTTGACAAACTTCAGGAACGGTCTCCAACGACTACGATGAAATTCAAGAAAGGCAAATGAAAAATACTATATATTTAGGAAAGAATAATCAATGCACAAATACAAAATGAGAATTGTCTCTGAAGAAATACTACTGAAAAACATATGGGGGTGATAGTGGATCACAAATTAAGTATGAATCAACAAAATAAAAATATTGCAAAAACAACTATTGCAAAAAAATCACTCTTCAAGAGTATGTTATTTCGAAATAACAAAATGTGCATCTTCACAGCAAGCTATTATTTCAAAATAATGTCAAACTGGAAGACTTACTCTGACTCGTGCAACCCTCATTTGACAAGGAGTAAGGGAAGTCAAAAGAAGAGTTTTTTTCCTTCGACTTCTTGCTGTGTAGACAGCACCAAGAGCCGAATTAATCTAGGTCAACTTCAGCTATGCAACTGACATAGCTGAAGTTGCCTATCTTAATTCAACTTTTGCCCTGCAATGTAGATGTTCAACTAAGAAAAAAAAAATCTTCCATTTTACTCTGTGCTGATAAGACCTCAATTGTAGTACTGTATCCATATTTGAGTACAGGTTAGACCTCACTGGTCCAGCACCCTCAGGACCTAATTGGTTCCAAACGAGAGGATTTGCTGGACCAGGTGAGGTCCCTCCCCTCCTGGCCCATATTGCCTCTGGGTTAGGGTGACAGCTTGCCCCGCTGCTGCCCCAGTCCCCGAGGGCTCTCTAAATGCTGCCGCCCCCACTGTTGCTGGGGCCAGAGTGCCACAGCTGGAACTCCGCAGCCGGGGCTGGAGCTCCACAGCCACCTGGTTCTGTGGCTGGAGCCAGAGCTGCACAGCCAGGGTTGGGGTAGAAAGCCGGGGCTGGAGTTCCATGATGGGGGCCACAGTTCCCTGGCTGTCTCTGGGGCCGAAGCCAAAATGGGGCTAGAGCTCTGCAGCCGGGGCCACAGCTCTCTGGCCACCACTGGGGCCACAACTCCCTGCCGTGCTACCCATTCCCCCTCCCCCGACAAACACACTGGGCTCCTGGCTGAGTTGCCGGTGCCCCCTATGGTGCTCCTGCCCTGCTGTCAGACCACCCTGTTCCTGGGCTCTGTGATCCACGTGCATCTGTGGTCTGGCATCAGACCAGGGAGTCCTGGTTAAGGGAGGTATAACCTGTACCACACTTTGGGCAAAATGTGGACTACTTCAGAAAACCCAGAAAGCCATAAAAGTGATTCAAGGTCCAGAAAACATTCATCAATATTGAAAAAAAAATGTTTGTTTATTCTGGAAAAAACAGAATGGAAGTCTTCAAGTACAGTACATAAATGTTGTAAAGAGGAAGGTGATAAATTGTTCTCCTTAACCACTGAGGACAGGATAAGAAGTAATAGGATTAAATGCAGCAAGAGAGATTTAGGTTAGACATTAAGAAAGATTTCCTAAATATAAAAGAGTGACACACTAGAAAAAATTACCTAAGGAAGTTATGAATCTCCATTATTGGAGGTTTTTAAGAGGAGGTTGGACAAATACCTGTCAGGGATAGACTAGATAATCCTTAGTCCCCTCAGAGGTGGGGATGGACTAGATAACCTGTGAAGATTCTGTCCATTCCTAAATTTCTAGGATTTAATTTATATTTACAAAACTCCTGTAAGGAAAGTGGCTGGTATGACCCTATTTTACAGACAAAGAATGGAAGCACAAAACATCTGATACCATTTCTTCACTATGGGGAAGATTGATGCTGCCATGATCAATCTTCTAGAGTTTGATTTAGAGGGTCTAATAAAGATCCACTAAATTGAACTCAGAGGGCACCCTCCATCAGCACCAGTATTCCTGCTCCTCGCAAAGAGTGAGGAAAGCCAACGGGAGCGTTTGCTCTTTCGACCTCCCACTGTAGACTAGGGATGTGAACATGTAGATGACTACATAATTAATTGATAAGCCCGGACTTATAGGTTAATACTATTGACTATATACACTCTCCCCTCCAGAGCCAGTGCCTGCAGAGAGCCAGCTTCTAAGCCAGCTCCATATGAGCACCGGATGCTGTGGAGCCATCTGCCCCCACACCGTGCATATTGCTGCCTCTGATAGAGAGGCAGCAGCCTGGATGGTGAGGGGGAGGCAGGCAGGAGCCAGTGCTCAGGGGGAGCTGGCTTTCAAGCTGGCTCCCCATGTGTATTGGCTCCCACAGAGTGGCCTCTGCCCCCCACCCCATGCTGCTGCCTCTCTGTGCATGCTGGATCTGCAGAGCCACCTCCCCCCACTACCTCCAACAGAGGCACAGGGGAGGAGCAGGCAGGAGCCAGTGCTCAGGGGGAGCTGGCTTAAAAGGCTACTGTAAGTCCCTTGCCCCCTGCACTGTTGCCTCGATCAGTTTTCAAACTGGGTCCCCTCATGGACTGGCTCCTGCCTGCCACTAAAGACCCAATCCTGAAGTCAGTGAGGGCATATGTACCCTTATTTCAAAATAGTAAGGCAAGTGTCTGGAACTACCACTGGGTGGATTTGAACTGTGGCCCTCTGTATAGAAGCCTCTACAGCTTGAGCTACAAAGCCAGCTACAGTAAAACTCAAATTGTCCGGCATCCAGTGGTCCGGCATCCCCAATAGTCCGGCACCAAGTAGAACCCGGAAGAGCTCCAGTAGCTGCTTCAAGAAGTTGTTAGTCAATTACTCTTCCACCGGCTGGACCCGCAGGTGACAGGCTCACAATTTATCTTTCCTCTACTGTCTCTGGCCAGGGCAGAGGGGGGCGGCAGGTAATGGTGCAGCGAGGGCCGAACCCTCCGCCGTTTTGCAGGGAGACAAAAGCCTACAAGCGGCGGCAGCAGAGAGGGGGCAAGAGGCAGGCAGCTGCTTCAAGAAGTTATTAGTCAATTACACTACCTCCTGCGGATGGGGGGGTAGTGTAATTGACTAACAACTTCTTGAAGCAGCTGCCTGCCTCTCACCCTCTTTCTGCCACTGCTGCTTGCAGGCTTTGCTTCCCTGCAAAACAGCAGAGGGTTCAGCCCTTGTCACGCCGTTCCCCGCTGAGTCCCTACCCTCCTGTCCCCACCGGAGGCAGTGCGGGTCCCAGCAGACCCATCACAGCCCCCCGCTGGAGTACCTCCTGATAGTCCGGCACATCCGATAATCCGGCACCACCTGGGTCCCAAAGGGCTCTTATTGGCTGGAAACTACCAGCCAATAGGAGCTAAGAGATTGACCTGGGGATGGGGGCAGTGCAAGCCTCCCCCTCTCCAGGAGCGGAGCACCACATGGAGGGAACAGCCTGCTGTGTTAAGCAGTCCGAGGCTACAGCAGGCCCAGCCTGCCTTAGGGGTACTGCAGGGCTTCTAGCTGGGAAATGCTTAGATAAGCATCTCTCAGCCAAAGCCTACCTCTGGCACCCTTGCTTCTCTCACACCCAACTCCTTCCCCCAGGTCACCATCCAAAACCTATGCATCCCACTGCCCCGGGTCACAACTCCTTCCAGACCCTGCACATTCTCCTACACCCTTCCCCTAGGCCAGAATCCTCTCCTGTACCCATACTCCCTTCCTGACCCTACACTACAATTCTCTGACACATGTCACAAACCCCCTCCTTCACCTAAACTCCCTCAGACCTCACACCATCTCCTGCACTGCAGTCCCTTACCCCATGTGTCCTTCTGACCATCCTAGACCTCGCACCTCCTCCACAGAAAAGTGCAGCCTTGGATCACTTTTCAAAATCTTGGAGTGGCCCCCCCACCAAAAATTACTGCCCACCCCGAGCTATATAATTAACATAGCTGGAGCTGCATATCTTAATTCAATCTTTCCCTGTAGTGTAGACGTGGCCTTAGACAAGCTATCTATTCATTCTGCTGTTCAATTTGAAATAAATCAGACCTGATTTTTTGCAAAAGGCTTTCTGATTATTTGGCACATGATCTCTTCCAAGTACTACTAGGGATGTGGCTTTCTCCCCTTGCTGCCTCTACCAGAGTCCCCAGCTGACCCCAGACTCTATGTGGCACTGTCCTCTTGGAAATGCACAGGGAGCACGGGTCAGCAGGGGGCTGCTTAAGTCTGCCACTGGCCCCGTGCTCCCTGCAGCAGCTCCACCTTTACAGTGCAGCAACAGCCCCCGCCTGTCCCAACATGTTAAGGGTGGAGGCAACCCCTATCGACTAACTGACCATTCGATTAGCCGCTTAATCGACATTTAACATCCCTAAGCACCACTCCCATTGACTGCAGCTGTGAGTGATGAGCTCGGCTGCAGCTCAAGCCCCCGAGGTTTCCAGCTGCCCGAAAAAGCGCCCCGTGTGAAGGCTGGTGTAAGACTCTTGCTCACCTATAATTAACAAGGGGCAGCCGCAGCATCCAGCGCCTGGTCTGGGAGCCCTCCTGGGGAGACCATGGTGCTCGCGCCGTGCGGCAGGCGCGCATCAGGCCGCGCCGCGGTCAGCGCTCAGCCCGGCGGGAGCGGCGCCTCCCTGTGCCCTGCACGAGGCCTCGCTTAACCCCCCGAAACAGCAACAACGGCCGGGAGCCCCGCGCTGCGTGACGCTCTTTCATGCCGCCCGCCGGGACACGCCCCGCTGTGAGGGCCCCTGAGGACCCAGGGGCGGGGACGCCCCCAGAGCCGGCCCGGCGGGCCCCGAGGCAGGCGCTGAGCGGGGGAGGCTGCGCGGCCGCTGCCCCTGTACCTGGTCTATGTACTGCCGGACCCGCTTCCTCAGGCGCTCCAGGTTCATCTCCCTGCAGCGCGCACGCGCGCCGGCCGGGCTCGGGATGCTCCGCTCGCGCAGGTAACGGTCTGGCTGTCACGCGCCAAGCCCGGACGCCCTGCGCTCTCTGCCGGCCTGGTTCTCTAGCCGAAGACGGACCGCGCGCGGTAACGTTCCACCCCCCCCTTCCCGCTTCCGGTGTCATGCACGAAGTGCCTCCCAGAAACACCGCCTCACGCCGATGGTTCCTAGCGCGTGCGGAGCCGGGGTTGTAGAGGAGGGCGGGGCAGCAGTGTGGTGTCGCTGAGGGGGCCCCGCGCTGCCAATGCTTGTTACGTTTTTGCCTGGTTTTCTGAAGGATCCAGCTCCTGGAGTCCTATTAATATGCCCCTTGCCATTCATTGTGGGGAAAGTCCCCAGCCTTAGAGCCACAGGGAAAGCATGGCCCAATGCACCCTGGCTGCGTCTACACTGGCATGATTTTGTGCAAATACTTTTAACGGAAAAGTTTTGCCGTTAAAAGTTGCGCAAAAGCAAATCTTTTGCGCAAAAGCATCCGTGCCAGTGTAGACGCTCTCTTGCGGAAGAAAGCTCCGATGGCCATTTTAGCCGTCGGGCTTTCTTGTGCAAGAAATTAACGTGGCTGTCTACGCTGGCTCTCTTGCGCAAGAGGGCTTATCCCTGAGCGGGAACATCGGAATATTTGCGCAAGAACCACTGATTTTGTACAGGGGTGCAGTGCAAGAGGAGGTGAGGGCTCCCTTTGGAAGTGCAGGCCTAGAAAATAGCAAGACCATGCTGCAAATGTCCTTGTAGTTACTGCAAAGTAAAGTGTTGTGGATGTGCAAATATTAGTAAACTTTAATGAGAGAATTATATTCTTCAGATGGGATATTGGAGCACAATTTTATGTGTTTTGGTAGTAATATATAGTAAAGTATCTAAGGAAAAAGTGCAGAAATATAAAGCAAAACTTGTTTCATATTCAAAATAAAATAGAACATGTGAGTTATACAGTTTTTGAAAAGTATGATTTAACATCTAGTAAATGCAGATGTATTCCATCTAAAAATGGACTTAATCATGCAGTGAATTAACTGTTTATTTGATGTATGTGCCAGACACCAAAATGTAAGCATAGTACAGACTGCATACTAGTAAAATTCTCATATGTCTTTTAATGCTTGGGTATCTGGAAGGAGAATGCTATTTTTAAGATTGAACAATTAGTAACTTTGTTCATCAATCTTCCAAACCCTTCCCCAAACATTTGGTCTAACAGATAAAATGTAAAAAATGATAGTAGATCAGTCTAGAGAATAGGTTAATAAGTGGGAGACCAAGACATTGAGTCACATAGACCATAGCATAAACATTATCCAGTAAAATCTGGTTGTTTCCTTTTCCACAGACTCTTGCAAGTACAAATATTCTCAGAGCTAGATGCAGGCAGGATGTGTTCCAGCAAGTAAAGTTAGATAAGTCAAGTGATTTTAATGCACCATTTGTGCTTGATAAAGTTTTAAGTGTTAGTTCATATGTGTTGTCTTAGGTATTTAACAGACTTCTGAAGGATTATATAGCCCTTAAGCTATAACTCATACTGTTTTAATTTGAGATAAGTATACAGTAATTTTTTCAGAGAGCAAGAGATACACAAAAATAACTTTTTAAAAGTAAAAAATTAGTCTTTCAGAAGTTATTTGTTGGACAAATAAGCTTTATTTGTTGATCTTGGTAACAATCAAAGCAATAGATGAAATACTCACTTTCCACCAGATGCGTGGACATGATAAACTAGCAACTCACTCAATACAACTCTATTAAGCATAGGCCCTTTTGGGAACTGTTGGAAAATGTTATTGTTAGAAGTTGGAAGATGGGTCAAAATAAGCATTTGAATGGTAAGAAATGCTGATCACGAGTCATTCAACTTTAAAATAATATGGTTTAAGCAAAACAAAATTGAAAAGGGTACTAGAGAGGAGGGATCAGTCTAAAAATAGTTAAGGTGACAAGCAAAACTACATATGATCAGAAGAAAGATAAAAGATGTTTTGGGCTTGCTCTGCCCTCAGTCTAGTTTTTTTCTCTCTTTTTTTTTTTGGCACACTCAGCCACTAATGTTTACTGCGGCCATTGTAATTTCCAGCTTAACTGAACTGTTACAATCTATATATCCGAAATCACAAAAAAGCACTAGAAACCTTGTATGCTACTCCTTCTGTAAGTTACCATTTCTTATAGTCTCTGATATTGTTTTCTCTGAGGAAAAGGGATACAATTTTTAGGGCATACTTCATCTTAATTTCCAACTGAAACAACTTTGCTCTGCATCTCTTGGAGTTGGGCCCAAAGAAATTGTGTTCCCGTATTTATGAATTATAACAGTACACAGTACATGTATATCACATGTAAGGGGATGTCTGTTAAGATAACCATGCCCTAAATTCACTTCTGCTAGTGGTACACTGTTAGAAGTCTGTCTTAGCAGCTGTCTTAATTGTGGCCCTACCAAATTCACAGCCATAAACAATGTTTATACTGTACAGATTTCACAAGGAAGACCAGTGTTTCCAAACTTGGAGTTTTGAAATAAAAGAAGTTTTTGGTTTTTTTAGGGGGGTTATAGTATTGCCATCCTTACTTTTGTAATGTCTTCAGAGCTGGACAGTGGTGGCTGATGTCCAGGCACCTTGCTGTGAAGGCAGAGCCCCATCAACATTAGCACAGAAGTAGGGGTGTCAATATCATACCATATCACCCTTACTTGTGGGCTGTAAGTAGATAAGCTCTTTGAGTAGGGACCATATCCACCAGTGTGTTCATAAAGGTTTCTTTTGCGCAAAACGGCCCCGTCTACACTGCTTGTTTTTGCGCAAAAACCTCTTCTGCAAAAAAATTGGCAGAAAATATGCAAATGAGAGCGCGACAAATGCTAACGAGCGCTTCATTTGCATTGTCTCTGCCGACAAAAGGCTGCAGTGTAGACGTAGACCCAGTGTGGTGTGGACCATACAGTAAGTCAGTCTAAGCTACGAGTTACATTACTAACATAATTCAAATTGCATAGCTTAGATTGATTTGTCCCCATAGTGTAGACCTGCCCTAAGATTATTTACTAGGTATCGCAACCATATAATAGAAAAGAAGATTATAGTTCAAAATTAGGGAATATTAGTAAAAGGAAATTTTATTCTCAAATAAAAGATATGATTAAAGGATGGAGAAATGATCTAGGCCAAAGTTGGGGACTTAAAAAAATCCTGACATTTACCAAGACTGAGCAGGCGTATTTCCTGTTCTGTAGAACTCTTGATCTAATTGAAGACCTCTTGTTGAATCCGATTTGAGATATTAAAAGATGATCTCCTGCCCTCTAGTGTTCAAGAGCTTCTCAGTTGTGGTAGAGTGTTTTGCCTGCTTTTCAGAACACTTTCCAGTCTTGCATCAGTTGATTAAATAACATCACATTTTTCTCATCTCTGGACACCAGTGATTATCAGAAACTTAGCCAAAATATTAATTAGTAGGAGAAAATGACACCAGATAATTAATTTGTGATCTGGTCATTCACTATTGATAAACTGAAGGTAGAAGAGACGAGTCTCTCTTAACTGTTGAATGCACATTTCTAGTTGCCATCTTTTACTTTTTAAATAAGCCTTGTCATACTCCTCTTTTAGTATGAGAATGTTAAAGAAAACATAAGATGCATATATGAAGAACTTGTGTTGCTTAGAACATTGTTGAGCATAATACCTATTACAACAAATGAGACAGGCTATAGTACAGGAAGTGGGACAGAAACCTATTTACATCCTGTTCTTTTATTCCATCATCTGCATAAAAACATGCACAATAAAATCGGCATCTACACACCGTTTCCCCAAAGCATAATTATTTCATGAAAGATATGATCTGCTGATGAGACAATGCACATCACAAGATAAAATAGTTTGTTACTTAATGCCAAGGTATAGTATCTAGGGTACAAACTGTGGCAGACTGACCACTTCCTACAACAAGAACGTTACTGAATTACATTAAACCTCATGAATTAGGCTTAAAGCTTTGGAGTCTATTGTACTAAGAATGCAATTATATTATTGTGGAATTGAGTGTAACTTAGGCAGCTCGTTCATTTGGTTTTAAATTGGATAGTCCTCTTCTTTGGTGCTCTGTCCTTCACCTGATATTGAGACAAAACAAGATTTTATCCAGTATCTGACAGTGGATGCCATTTTGAAAAGCTCCTCACTTGTACCAATGTGACTTCAGATGCACCATGACTGTGAGTCCATGCCAATGGAAGTGGAGCCGTGTGATCTTCTAAATAGCATTCTTTGTCCAGTGTAGCTTTGTACATACATTGTGTCTGAGGTCACATCATCAGGTGTGAGACACATCAATCCTGGAAGTACCGAAATGTCTGGTATTCTGAGAATATGTGAGTGACTATTGTAATGTAACTGTCCTAAGAGAGGGATGCCAATGTAATTCCTTTGGTTATTGGCACATAGAAGGCCCCAGCACCACCTCCCAGAGAGCTATTCACAAACTAGTTCAAACTGGAATCTCTAGAGACCAACAGACAAAGAAAGAATTTTTGGAAAAATAGCCTAGGTTTAAACTGACTCAGGGCAGCCTTCCTGATCCAGGATCCCTGGTCCATGGAGGTTGCAGTGCTCAGGGAAGGGTTGGGCCTACCAAGGCTCCACAAGACTGGGTGTTTGTTCTAAATGAAAGCCGTGAGGAACTTGAATCCACAAGGAAATCCCTTGGATAGTGTTTGGAAGGACTGCTCCTGTCATAGCTTATGTTGGCATGGGATGAGCTTTGATAATCTTATCATGTGAATAAGTTCTTTTATTGTCTTTAATATGTTTTCTCTGTAGTGCGTTTACCTGAAGAATAAAATAGGTGTGCATAAAAAGATTGGTGTGATTTCTGTTAGCAATGTTAACTGTTCCCAAAAGTAACAAAGGCGTCAACTCCATGGGTTCTCATAGACTCATACTCATAGACTTTAAGGTCAGAAGGGACCATTATGATCATCTAGTCTGACCCCCTGCACAGTGCAGGCCACAGAATCTCGCCCACCCCTCTTAGAATAATCCTCTCACCTATGTCTCAGATATTGAAGCCTTCAAATACTTTGAAGGCCCCAACATGCAGAGAGT